TATGGTCTCCAATTGCCTGATTCTTGGCCCCGAGATGATTAAGGCAGAGGAAAATTGCCTTCTGGGGTGCACTGGCTAGACAGAGGAAGTATGACCTGGAAATGGTTGGTTTGCATATCAAAGGCAAGCTTTCAGCTGGGCTCTTTGCTATCTGCAAAATTTGGCTAGCCTGGGAAGGTTAGTCTCTCCCCAGCCAGAAAGTTTTTTAAGATGTCAGAACATCATAATATACAGAAAAGTTAAATATATATAATACATTTAATCCTAAGCAATTTACTATTTTTGATGCTATTGTAAATGGGATTATTTTCTTAATTTCCTTTTTGGATTGTTCATTGTTAGTGTATAGAGATGTAACTGATTTTTGTGGGTTGATTTCATATCCTGCAACTTTGCTGAATTCTAACAGGTTTCTTCGTGTGTAGAATCTTTAGAGTTTCCTATATACAAGATCATGTCATCTATGAACAGAGATAGGTTTACTTCTTCCTTTCCTACTTGGATGCCTTTTATTTCTTTTTCTTGTCTAATTGCTCTGGCTAGGACTTCCAGTACTATGTTGAGTAGAAATAGAGATAGTAGGCATCCTTGCCTTCTTCGTTATCCTAGAGAGAAAGCTTTCAGTTTTTCACCATTGAATATGATGTTATCTGTGGCCAGCAGTTCTCTTTTTAAATATATAGCCTAGAAAAAATTCTGCACATGCATTCCTGGAGACATATAAAACAAAGTTTACAACAGCATTTCTTGTAAAAACAAAGGCCTGAAAACAACCCAATTATTATTGACCAGAGAATGGCTAAATAAATTGTGAAATATTCATTTATTTAACTATAATGCAGCAGATAAAATGAACTAAAGATATATGATGCCATGGAATGAATCTCATAAATATAATATTGAGAGTAAAAAGCAAGTCACCAAAGAATTCAAACATTATGATAGAATTTTTATGAAAGTTCAAACACATTTAAATCAAAATAATACATTGTTAAAGGACCTATATGTAGTAAAACATAATGAAATGCAAAGAATGAGAAACACAAAATTTGGAATAGGGTTTTCCTCCAGAGGGAGAGTTAGTTTGCGTTAGATGGTTTTAAGGGGGGAGGTAGGAGAGAAGCTTATCTGCTGAGGTGAATAGGAGGCGTGAGATGTGAGAATACACTGTTAAATGTACCCTCCCATCTGTATATATTAACAAGATCAAAATACTAAGCCGACAGCTACAGTCTGCTGCTTAAACACTTGCTGTTTTCACAGATGTTCTTCTTATCAGTCCTCAGTTCTCTTAGAACTTCTTTCTTCCAAGTAAATATGGCTATTCACAAAGTTGGTCAACACCAGAGCAACTTCAGTTAGTAAATCAGTGACATTTCTTCACATTTTTATGGTTAAATATAAAATTGGAACCACTGAGAACTGACTTCTGCACAAGTTTCTTTTTTTTTGTCATTTTTTAAATTGAAGTATAGTTGATTTACAATGTTGTATTAGTTTCTGGTATACAGCATAGTGATTCATGTATATATGTATATTCTTTTTCAGATTCATTTTCATTACAGCTTACTACAAGCCATTGAATATAGTTCCCTGTGCTGTATAGAAGGAACTTGTTGTTTATTCTGTATATAGTAGTTTGTATCTGCCAATCCTAAATTCCCAATTTATCCCTCCCTCCCCTTCCCCCCTGGTAACCATAAGTTTGTATTCTGTCTGTGAGTCTCTTTCTGTTTTGTAAATAAGTTCATTTGTGTCATTTTTTAGATTCCACGTATAAGTGGTATCATATGATATTTGTCTTTCTCTGTTTGACTTACTTCGCTTAGTATGATAATCTCTATGTTGCTTCAAATGGCATTATTTCATTCCTTTCTGTGGCTGAGTAGTATTCTATTGTGTATATATATATACACACACACATATACGCACACCACATTTTCTTTATCCATTCGTCTATCAATAGGCATTTATGTTGTTTCCATGTGTTGGCTGTTGTAAATAGTGCTGCTATGAACATTGGGGTGCACGTATCTTTTCAAATTGGAGTTTTGTCCAGATATATGCACAGGAATGGGACTGCTGTATCATACGGTAAGTCTATTTTTGTTTTTTTAAGGAAACTCCATACTGTTCTCCATAATGGCTGCACCAATATTTACATTCCTATCAACAGTGTAGGAAGGTTCCCTTTTCTCCACACCCTCTCTGGCATTTATTATTTGTAGACTTTTTGATGGTCATTCTCACCAGTGTGAGGTGATACCTCATTGTAGTTTTGATTTGCATTTCTCAAATAATTCATGATGTTGAGCATATTTTCATGTACCTGTTGGCCATCCATATGTCTTCTTTGGAGAAATGTCCATTTAGATCTTCTGCCCATTTTTTTATTGGTTTGTTTGGGTTTTTTAAATATTGAGCTGTATGAGCTGCTTATATATTTTGGAAATTAATCCCTTGTCAGTCACATCGTTTGCAAATATTTTCTCCCATTCCGTAGAGTATCTGTTCATTTTATTTATGGTTTCCTTTGCTGTCTGCACAAGCTTCTTGATGTAGCTCTTCCACTTTAGGCAATCTGATAGATGTTTAGCAAGCAGCTTAAACACTTGAATTTTATGGGTTTAGTGTAAGTTCCCGAAGAAACACTTACTTCCATTCACTGTTTACTAAGAACTTATGTCCCAGGCACTGCACTAGATGCTAGGTATTGAGGACCAGAAAGACACAGCCTTTGCCCAGGGGCAGCTCACAGTCATGTGAAGAGCTCTGCTCTGTTGTGTAGAAGGCAATATGTTTTACATACAATAAGATGTAGGGAAATTGCACTCCATTTTTACATTTAAAAAAGCATTACTTCTGTATATAGATTAATATGCTTTTTAAAATTTCATAAAGTTTGACATAAGTATACATTTGTAAAACCAGCATCACAGTGAAGATAATAAACACATATGTCCCCTCCAGAAGTTTCTTCTTGCCCCTTTGCCATCTCCCCCTCCAGCCTCAGCCCGATCTAAGCAACCACTGATCTGACATCTGTCACTATAGAACAGCTTGCATTTTCTAGAGTTTTATATAAATGGAATCATATAGTGTGTTCTCATTATAATCTGGCAACAGTCATCTTTTGACAGACCATACTAGTGGAAGGAAATGTGGGTAATTTCTTAAAGATATATATATATATAAATTATATATATTATATATATATAATATCTTAAAGTTATATATATATAAAATATCTATACACATATATTTGAATCATAAGGGTAAATTTTAAAAAAGAAATTAATATTCAAAATCATGTGAATTGATCAATCAAGTTCTTCTAGAATTCGTGTGAGAAGTTTAAACGTAGACAGATTTGACTACTGACAAAAGCAGAATAATACTTACTGTGTGATGTAAAAGGTGAAAGATTTACATGATCTGAAGAGAAACATGAGTGTGGATCCTTTGAGTGTGCTGTAGTAGAAAACAGAACCAGAATGACATTCACATTTAGGCTCCATCATCCCTAGAAGACTGACTTTGAATGAATTATTTAACCTCTCTGAGTTTCAGTTGTTTAAGCCATAAAATGGGAATAATAAGGACCTCTTTATTGGGTGACTGGGAGGATTCAATTAGACTTGGATATGGAAGGTGTCTCACATTCAAATATTAGCTCCTCTTTCCTTAACAGTGATTCTTGTTTCTAGGAGAATATTACTTCAGAATCGTAAAGAAAGTCATCTAAAAATTACTCAGCATAAAAATAGCCACTTAATAGCATTTATGAGAATATATCTGGTGTGTAGAGCTGTGTTAATCTATGTAATCTTTTTTACAGCAGCAGGTTAACCTTCCTAATTCCACATTGTCATAAATGACATGAAAAAGAAGTCGGTATCAGTGTTCCCTGACTTCTCATTGATTAAGGGTGGGAGAAGTCAGCCAAGAGGCCATGGAGACCATCAGTAATTGATCAAAGAAAGGACCAGGGATAAATTCTGAAGTAGATAACCCATCCAGAGGAAACAGTGAGGCGATGATGGTAGCTAAAGCGAACCAAGTGCTTATTACAGGCTGGGCTTTGTGCTAAGGCATTACCTGAATTGTTGCATTTAGCCCTCTTAACAAACCTTTGAGTTAAGTACTATTATTGGGCCCATTCTACAGATAAGGAAATCAAGGCTTAGAGAAGTTAAGTAACTAATTCAAGTTTAAACAGATGGAAGTGACAAAGAAAAATTCAAACCTAGGTCTCTGACTTAAGAGCTCAAATCCTTAACTACTTCTCTTAGAGAAGCACAGAGCAATCCCAGACTCAAAACATGTCCCTTAATTTGCAGACACCCAAGTCCCCTGCGGTAGATCTCGGACAGGTTTTCTGCTCTTAGAAAGGGAGAAGAGGAAACCACTACCAAACTTACGTCCTGAGTTTCAGGAAAGCCACCATCCACAGTGACCTGAGTGGGATTCAGTCATTTCTTGATGATCTTTTCTGAACCATCTGACTGCGTGTCACTCATTTTAGGCCCTCCTCATCCCCCACCCACCCCCCAACACGTGCCCTTGATTTTTCTCCCTGCTGGAAAATTCTCCTGTTGTTGAATCTCCATCACCCCATGGAAGTGGAGGCCCTCCAGTTCTGGCTAACACCCACCTCCCTCCAGGGCTATCTGCCGAGGAGGGGGTGAGTATGGACTTAATGACATGCTTTCCTTAACAATCTTCCAAACCTATCATCTAGGATGGGGTTTACAAGCATTCATCAACAACACCCCAGCAAATAGGTTAGTAGGATTAGCCCACTACCTGTTTAGGAACCTGGAAGGCTAAGAGATTTTTTACCAAGATTTGGAACTCAGGGATTTTAACCCCAGTTCCTCCTGTACCACGTGGCCTTTAGTAAGTAGCATAGCTGCTTTGGTTGTCCATCTTCTCCTTACCTTCCTTCCCCCTCCCCGCTCCCCCCACTCCCCCAACCATCAACTCTGTTGGCAGAATGAAGGCTGAGTTTTGCCTTACTTCCCACAGAACTAATTAAAGTCTACAAAGTACTTTGAGAACATTCAGTGTGGGGTTCCTGCCAAGTCAGAATTACAGGTGGGAATGACAAGGAGTGGGAATAGGGTAAAACCAGAATAGTGGAGTTGCTCTAAGGAAGGTTCCAATCAGCCTCTTTCTACTATGAATCTTAAAGCTCTTTCTCTGTGATTGTTCAGTCATCTCAGGGAAGAGTTCACTTCTTTTCCCCTTTCACAGGCTCAGATCCAAGGCAAAGTGGTAACTGAGTTCTGCAGCTCCGTTTGCCCTTCCCTTCAAAATTACACACAGATCCCTTCAGACAATACTTGTCTTATGAAAAGGAAATGGTTGGATTACACCTTAGTCTGGAGCAAAGTCCTCAGATGCAGGATGCAGGATGTCGATCGTTGTATCTTCTGGGCTTTCAACTGTGGCTGGTTAATCACTGCGCCTGACCTTCTGCTCTAGCCCTTGACATGGGCACCAGAGGGGGCGGCGCTGGTGGGGATTGAAAAGCTCTTCTAGAGTCAGGTCCTGCCCAGGAGGAGTTTACCTATGAAGGCAAAACGTACACAGTAAAAGCAACTTAAGAACAATTACAAAGCAACACATTGATATAGGCAAAATAACAGACCAAGGGAGGGATTAAGGTTAGACTTCAGAAGAACTTCCTACCACAACAGATGTTGTGGATTCTCCCTTGTTTGGTAGGTTTAGGAATATCCCTATTTGAAAGCAGGGGTCTTTTGGCTTTAATACTCATCACTTACGTTACAAAAAGCCTCAGTCTTTGGGGTCTTTTAAATATGCCCTGCTTTTAAGCAGGTCAGCTGTACTTTGGGTGTTTCTCCCTTTCTTCTCTCACTGTCTCATGAAACATTTCCTGGCTCCATTTCTCCCACTCCCATATCCTGAATAGCAAAGGCTTTCTACCCTTCAAATCAACCTGCCCCGCTGTGGGACATGTCATGGAACCAATAAGCTGCCAGATGAAGGGGAACAGGTTGTTAGATACTTTCCAGTACGTGTCTCAAATGTACAAACGCTGACATCATGGAGCAAGGAGGATGAGGGCTGGGAGGGGTATCTACCCCTCTTAAATGCTCAGAGATTAAGCTCCACATCCTTTAAACTAAAGGTTTCCAAGGCCCTTTGTCTTTTTTAGGAAGGGCTCTCTGTTGTCTCAATTGTCCACACTTCTGGTAGCAAACTAAGCCACTGGTAGCCAAGGGAGGCGATTTGTGATGCAGCCTGGGAAGGTGTTCTCTGAGGGGTCTGACCCAGCAAGAAGGGTTTCTCTAGGAGGAGTGGATATTAGGAAGGGTTTGTTTCATTCCAGCTCTCACCAAATACTAGAGTGAGGGGATAGACAAGCCTAAGGATGCAGGGTAATAGGAACAAGCTGGGCCAAGACAAACGACTTGCTGCAAATGATTCCAAAATGATAACAGAGAGAATGGCAAAGATGAACACATAATAAGTGGGAAATGATCAACTCTTGCCAAGATTATATTATCCTCAGAAGAAGAAACAAAAGGAAAGGGAACTCTAGTTTGGGGAAGGGAAGGAGATGATGGACATGACCCCTGGCCCCAGATTCACCCTGCAGCTGTGGCTTCAGGCCAGGGGTTTGTGTTTTCAAACTTGCGTGGAAAGTGTTGAGCAAGAAGGCGGGACACTTGGGTCCTATGCTCAGTTTGTGCCTCCAGCCCACCCTCTCCCAGCACTTACACTGTGCAAGCACCGGGAATACAGAGATGACTGTGATATGGTCCTGCCAGCAATGCTCTCACATACACGGCAGATCCATACCCCATCTAACACATCCAACTTCACACGGAGTTGAATCCAAGAGTATTGGGGAGAGCACAGGGATTAACGCTAAGAATGCTGAGTCAGCAGTTTCTCCACCCACTCCACTTCCTCAGAAAGTGGAGGAGTTGTAGGAAACCACATGAGTTTCACTAATCCCCCATCAATAGCACCCACTGCATTACTGGCCTCATTATTTCTTAATGGGACTTCGTTGATTACAGACTGCTTAATTACAGTGACAGACTCCCTCTTGGTTGGTGGGGGTGGGAGGGACTGGCACAAGAAAAAGGGTGAGAAGGTATGAGGGGGACTATGAATGTAGGCAACCGCAGCCTTACCCCCACTATCCAGGGCAAGAGCCAAGATGAGGAAGAAGCCTCTGACCAGCATTACTGGCCCTCTCACCACCGCCTTCCCCTCAAATGATAAAGCCTCCAGGGATAAAGGGAAAAAATCAACTTCCTCTTACGGCTGTTTTCCCATTATAGTTTCCTTCATTGGGCTTTTAAAAATATCTGGTAATCAGAGAGAAACAGCAACATCATTGAACCACAGATACAATTCTTGGCACACAGTAAGTACTGAATAGATATTTGTGGAATACATGAAAGTTACAGAAAGACAAAGTAACGGAGGCAAAGGCATACAGAAGAGCAAGCTGATGGTATATCTACGTTGGGCTACCTGAATCAAAGCACATTTCCCCCCCACTAAAATCATCAATTACATGACAGCTGACAAGACTCGAAGGCATTTTTAGCATTATATATATGCATCAAGTAACTAAAAGAGAGGAACAAAGAAGGGAGGAGAGAGAGCTTTATTCTGTATGAGTAGGTACGGGCAGCAGTCCCGAAAAGGCTGAGGCGTCAAAGCAGAGAACAGGCAAGGCAAGGTCAGAAAGACCGAATCAGCTACGTGTCAGAGGAAAAGGTGTGGAACAGAATGGCCATTTCGTGCTGTAGACCGAGAAGGTCTGGGGCTGAGCCAGAGAGCCATATCCACTTCACGTAACATGATTTAGTTCTTTGGTGGCCTTGAACTGACCTCACCTTGCCACCCCTGCCATTCCTATCCCAGGCGCTCAATAAATAGTCTTGGTTTAATCTCAGGCAACCCTTGATCAATTGTGCTAATAAAAATGAAGTGGACAATGAAAACTTTTTAAATTTGGTTTTGCCCAAGGAGTTATACCGTAGCAATTATGATTTATGTAAGCATTCATTGGAAAGGGTTTGCAATGCCAGTTTGGGAATGGCTGGGGTAGGGCAGCCAAGATGCATGTTGACAGGCAAGGAACAGTCAAGTTAGGTTTTTAAATTTCCTAAAGATAATTGACATGCCAATGTTTAAGAGTTGACTATTTGTAACCACATTCTGAACTATATAATTTATGGAAATTTCTTTAATGTCCCCATTGTTCATTTGTCATATTCATCATTAGAGGTAGATATATTTCAGGGTTGTTTCTTCTTTTATATAAACTGGCTTATGCCATATTCTAGTAGAGTATTAAACTGTCTATAAAACTCCCTAAATTAATCACCCAATAGTTTAAACATAATAAACATGTGAACTGTCTCAGTTAATTGGCCCAAGAAATTGTGTTCATCCCCAGAATCATATTTTTTTCCTCTCACACTTCCCCTGTCATCCTGAGCTCGTCAGAAGCAAGAAAAATTTGTTCTTGACAAATGTTAGATTCATATCCAGAATTAGCACAAGACCCTAAATAGGAATTTAAGAAATAATTCACTGACTTAGAGGATCATCAGATGACGTGTAGGTCACTGACTTCTGAGACGACCACCTCCGGTTCAGGGAACAGAGGGAAACTCCAGAGGCAGGAGGAGATACCCTTCCTACAGGCGGAGTCCGGTCCCGTTGGGGAGGTGGGACAGCACTCATGACACAGGGACCAAGGCAAACAGAGACAAGGACAGACCAGGAGGCATTTTACTGAGCTACATAGGTAAGTGCTGGAAAGATGTGAAGAAACTGCACAGGGAAAATCAAGGTAAGGAGTAAAGGATTAACATGAATCAATATATATAAGACACCATGTGTGTGTCTCTGTGTGTGTTTTGCAAGAAGCAGCAGGAAAAGCTGGTAGGAACGGAGTGGACCTAAATCTGTGGAGAGAAGCAAGGAAAGGGCCCTAAGTCTGGAGAGGAAGGCTGGACGGTGAAAGCCAGGAGATGTGATGGAAACTAAGTCACCAGCCTTCAGTCCTCCTGGCCGATTCAGACCCACACCCGCCGCTGGTGGGCAGGCCAGTAGTTTCTTGCAAGACTATTTGACCCATGAAATACATCTTCAGGGTCCAGAGAACAAAAAAGAGTGGTCTTGCTTATAAATGGCTCTGAGCCTCTGCTGAGGAACACAGAGTTAAGTCCACTCTAACATGAAACCAAGGGGACCAAGAGATAACAGTCCTCAACTGCATAACAGGCTTCCAATCTCTGAAGAGTTATTATTCGCAGGACCACCAGCAGCTGTTCCTCATCCTTTCTGAGGAAATAAAACCCACAAGGAAATAGAATGAAACTACAGAAGCAGGGACTGAGTTAGACAGAGGAAACATTTCCTGAGTGCAACAACCCCCCTCTTCGGTGATAGTCTTCAGGGCAGCTTTCTTATACTCAGCCATCAGATGACTTCGATGCCAGTTAGTTGAGCTTGTTGGAAAATAGTGCTAAATGCAGTGTTTCATCATAGAGCTCAAATATTTCCTCATCTGTAAAATGGGTAAAATAATATTTCACAGAGATGGAATGTGAGAAAATGTGCAGCCCCGTGAGAGGCTCCTAGTAAGTTGTGTGTGTGTGTGTGTGTGAGAGAGAGAGAGAGAGAAAGAAGTAAATATTTATGCTTTTTTTTTTGCTCCCCTTCACTTTTCTTAAATATAAAATAAGTATGGACTGCAACCTTCAGAGGCCTTTGTGTGAATGTCAAAGGGGCTCAATATATGGAAAAAACTAGAAATCATAAGCTACCACATACAAAGGCATATGTTGTCATAGACAATCTCTGTGAAAGTCTTTACCAGCTGCCAATATATGCAGATCCCTTTTATTACAGGTCATTGTCTCTGTGTCATGAACACAGGCTAAAACCACACCCCTACACTGCTGGAAAAAATCCAGAAAACCCTAAAAGCTCAAACTTCCCTGACTTCACATCAGTCCTGGCACATGAGAAGACAGATCATAAGAAAGATCGTAGGTCAATCAGGCCTGAGTTCAAATCCCAATGCCACTGTTGCTTAATACCTTTGAACCCTGGCTTCCTGATTCACAGGATGTGGGTAAGTACTATCTACCATTTGGATTGTTTTAAGGTTTTTACTAAAATCAAATATCAAATAAAATAAAAAAGGCCTGGCCTTCTGAGGATGGCCTTTGAGTATTAGTTCCCTTCACATGAGTTGTGTAGCATCCTATCACTGGTTAGGATTCTGCTTGGAGACGGCAGAGTGGACACATTGATGTCTAGCAATGTAAGATTCCGAGCAATTGTGTAAAGGGCACTGAGAATGGCAGAGAATATCTGAAACAGAACCTCTGCACCTTGCAGAACGGCCATCATTTCCCTAATCTGCTCCTCTCTTTCCATGTCCTTCTCCATAGCGATCCCTCATGTTTTCCCGTAGCGTGATGCGCCACTTCAAATGGTTTCCAGCCTCAAATTAGCTCCTGGGTCCTGCTTTGTCCAGGAGAATGAGGCAAGGGGACTGGC